GAAGGGAGCTGGGAAGGGGCTGGAGCAGCAGGAGGGGCTGAGGGAGCTGGGGGGGCTCAGCCTGGAGAAAAGGACGCTCAGGGGGGACCTTCTGGCTCTGCAAGTCCCTGCCAGGAGGGGGGAGCCGGGGGGGGTCGGGCTCTGCTCCCAGGGAACAGGGACAGGAGGAGAGGGAACGGCCTCCAGCTGTGCCAGGGGAGGCTCAGGTTGGATATTGGGAAAATTCCTCCACAGAAAGGGCTGTCCAGCCCTGGCACAGCTGCCCAGAGGGCAGTGGTGGAGTCCCCATCCCTGAAGGGACATAACAGCTGTGTGGATGTGGCATTTGAGGACATGGGTGAGTGTCCTTGGCCATGCTGGGGGAGTCATTGGACTTGATAATCTCAGAGGCTTTTCCAACCTGAATTATTCCATGATTCTGTGCTCTGCTCTAGTTCCCAGCAGCTGCAGGCAGAAGATCCCCTTGTCCCAAAGGCTGCAGCAGCAGAAATGCCAGTTCCCAGTCAAGATGAAGGGACCAGAATAGTTGAGGGGGACCTTGATGGAGCAAATTGCCCACTATTTACCCCTTGCTGTCAAAATGTGGCTCAGATGTTTATGTGCCATCAAGGCTGGCCATGAGCTCCACTGCCATGAATCAACCCTGGGTGTTGTTCAGCTGCTCTTTGAGCCTTTTCCTTATCCCACAGCCTGGCACAGGTTGTCCAAAGAGGCTGTGGACTCCCCATCCCTGGAAGTGTTCAAGGCCAGGCTGGATGGAGCTCTGAGTAACCTCATCTAGTGGAAGGTATCCTTGCCCCTGGCAGGGGGTGGAATGAGATGGAATTCAAGGTCCCCCCAGTCCAAACCTTATGTTGTTCTGTGATTCTACAGCTCCTGCAAGCGAGGAAAAATGGGATGTGTTGCATGGAGATGTCAGCACCCAACCAGCTGGTGTCCCACTCCCCATTCTGCATCTGTCCTGCTCCAGCTGGGGGTGGGAGGGGCAGGGGGGCCAGGACAGGCTGCACAGCTGAGGGGAGTGACAGGAGGCTTTGGACAGGGGGAAAGGAGTGAAAGACAGCAGGGACCTGGCAAACAGGGGGTGGATGGGAATGTTCTGATCATCACAGAGGGATGGTTGATGGTCATAGAACCATTCTGTGATTCTGTGATGGTTTTAGGATACAGCCAACGCCAACATCTGCCCCATGGCTCCATCACAGAGCCCAGGCATGTGCCCAGGTGTGCTGGTGTGAAACCACTCGTGGGGACATCAGGAGCCAGACAATGGGGTTACCGTGGTTCCCATGTCCCTGGGATCCCCACAGTGTCCAGCTGGGTATTTGTACAACCAAGACTTCTGCAGGCAAAAATGCCATTTCTGAATATTGAGGTGCTGTTGAGAGGCTTG